ACGTTCTGTGATTCTGTGATTCTGTAATTCAGGTGTCTTCAGAGCACTTTATCAACATACACAGAAGGAGAAGGCATCTGTATTTTACACTGCCATTATAGAAAACACAGCATCTATTTTGCAGGATTTCAGAAAACCAATGGTCAGCTAAAGTCTGTAATGTCGGGGGGAGGAGAAAAAAACCAAAAAGCAGAACAAGGCAATTTACTTGTCTCCAAACCCTATGTCACACGCTTACTCACTGTATTAATCTTGAGAAAGACAGTAGAAACCCCATCACCCCTAGAAGAGCAGAGTAACATTAACCGTGTACAACATGAAAGGTTGCACACCGTTTCCTTACCAGGAATAGTATGTACTTCATCGAGTATCATAAGGCCCCACTCCTGACTTTTAAGCCACTCCATTACTCTCTCTGCTTCGAAGGATCTTTTTGTTGTGTGTCCCAACATGGAATACGTGCTGATAGCAATAGAGCAGCCAATGGGCTTGTCTTTGGCATCAGAAGTGAACCGACATATCTGACTGTCGTCGATGGTGGACCACATCTTGAATTGGGCTTTCCACTGCTCTACAGACACTGCAGAATTACCAAGGACCAGGCACCGCTTGCGGACAGTACACACAGCTGTCACTCCGACCAGAGACTTGCCAGCACCTGCAGAGGAAGAAGAGTGATATTCATTAGTCATCGCTTGGACATCACTGCAGTAGGAGGGAAAAAACAACCAACCAAAAAACACAATCACAGAATCACAGAACGTTAGGGATTGGAAGGGACCTCAAAAGCTCATCCAGTCCAATCCCCCTGCCGGAGCAGGAACACCTAGATGAGGTTGCACAGGAAGGCATCCAGGCGGGTTCTGAATGTCTCCAGAGAAGGAGACTCCACAACCTCTCTGGGCAGCCTGTTCCAGTGCTCTGTCACCCTCACTGAGAAGAAGTTTCTTCTCAAATTTAAGTGGAACCTCCTGTGTTCCAGCTTGTGTCCGTTACCCCTTGTCTTATCATTGTTTGTCACCGAGAAGAGCCTGCCTCCATCCTCGTGACACTCACCTTTTAAATATTTATAAACATGAATGAGGTCTCCCCTCAATCTCCTCTTTTGCAAACTAAAGAGACCCAGCTCCCTCAGCCGCTCCTCATAAGGGAGATGCTCCACTCCCTTAATCATCTTTGTAGCCCTACGCTGGACTCTCTCCAGCAGTTCCTGTCCTTCTTGAACTGAGGGGCCCAGAACTGGACACAATATTCCAGATGAGGTCTCAAGAGCAAAGGAAAACCATGAGAGTCTATGAAATCATGCAAGGGCAAATTCTTCATTGTTTCTTTACTATAACAGTCTTAAAGAAATGGAGTATTCACTTCTATAAAACCAGCTAGATTGTCTACTAGACATATAACTGTATTTTCTCAAAAAATCACTGTAAACAGTGGCTTTGCTAGTTAGAAGTGATCATTTTAACGCTTCTGTAATTTCAAAAGCAGGTTAAATTCCAGGCAGCTACAGAAAGCTTCCCCTAGAGGCGATCTATCCCACTGCTCCATCAGCTGTGCTCATTCTCCCACAGAGCAATTCCTTAAATCTTCCCATTCCTGC